AGAATAATATTTATACAATTTTATATAATACATATTATATTGTTGTATTATATAATATACAATTACATATATAAATCACATAGTCATATGTAATAAAAATTGTTCTTTTAAAATTTAAGTATAGTTGATATATAAAATTATATTAGATTCAGGTATACAATATTGTGATTTAACATATACATTTTGATGTGATCACCATACTTAGTCTAGTAAGCATCTGTCACTGTGAAAAGTTAACACAATATTATTGAGTATATTCCTCTACCCGTTTTCATTCATCCCTTACCATTCTCCCCTCTGGCAACCATCAGTTTGATCTTTGTTTCCACAAATCTGTTTTCATTTTGTTTTGTTTGTTAATTTGTTTTGTGGTTTTTGATCCACGTGTAAGTGAAATTATACAGTATTTAACTTTCTCTGACTTATTTTACTTAGAATAATACCCTCTTGGGATGGTTCCATTGAGTAGTGGTTAGCACGTCTGCTTTACATGCAGAAGGTCCTGGGTTTGAGCCCCAGTGGAGCCACTGCCCCATACCCCAGGTGCACCAGGCCCCGGGTGGGCAGCGCAAGTGTGTGGGAGGAGACTGCCCGCCTTCAGAGATCCAGTTCTTAAGGGGAGATGGCAACATCCGTAAGTCAGGGGTGGAAGTCGGGTGAGGGGATGAATTAAAAAAAAAAAAGAATAATACCCTCTGGGTTCATGTGTGCCTGGACATTTTAATAATATTAGTCCTTCTATCCATCAGCATGGTACATCCTTCCATTTATTCCTATCCTCTTCAATTTCTTTCTCCAATGCTTACTTGTTTTCCAAGTACAGGTCTTTTACCTCTTGGGTTAAATTTATTCCTAGATAGTTTTTTTGATGCAATTGTAAATGGGATTGTTTGCTTAATTTCTCCTTCTGATTCCAATATTGGTGTATAGAAATGCAACAGATTTCTGTGTATCACTTCTAGATTCTACAGCTTTACTATATTTATTAGTTCTAATAGTTTTCTGGTGGAGTCTTTAGGGTTTTCTATACATAATATCATGTCATCTGCAAATAGTGACAGTTTTACGTCTTTCCAATTTGGATGCCTTTCATTTATTTTTCTTTTCTAGTTGCTCTGGCTAGAATTTTCAATACTATATTGAATAATAGTGGTGAACATGGACATCCTTGTCTTGTTCCCGATCTTAGAGGAGAAGCTTTTAGCTTTTTATCATTGAGTATGATATTGGTTGTGGGCTTTTCATATGTAGCCTTTATCATTTTGAGGTAAGTTCTTTCTATGCCCACTTTGCTGAGTTTTTATCATAAATAGATGTTGAAATTTTTTTGAATGACTTTTATGCATCTATTGAGATGATAATATAATTTTTATCTTGGTTTTGTTGATACGATATTTCACATTAATTGTTCCGTGAGTATTAAACCATCCCTGCATCCCTGGTATAAATGCTATTTGATCATGGTACATAATATTTTTAATATATTGTTGAATTTGGTTTCCTAGTATTTTGTTGAGAGTTTTTGCATCTATACTCGTCAGGGATATTTGCCTGTAATTTCTTTCTTTGTAGTGCCTTTGTCTGGTTTTGGTACCAGGGTAATGCTGTCCTTGTAGATTGAGTTCGGAAATGATCCTTTCTCTTCAATTTTTTGGAATAGTTTGAGAAGGAAAGGTATTAATTCTTCTTTAAGTGTTTATTAGAATTTACCTGTGAAACTGTCTAGTCTTGGGCTTTTGTTAGAAGATTTTGATTATTGTCTAAATTTTGTTGCTAGTAATCAGTCTGTTCAGATTTTCTTCCTGGTTCAGTCTTGGAAGATTGTATGTTTATAGAAATTGTTTTTTTTTTTTTCTAGATTGCTCAATTTGTTGGCATATAGTGTACATAGTGTTCTTTAATGATCCTTTGTATTTCTTTGGTATTATCTCCCCTTTCATTTCTAATTTTATTTATATGGGCTCTCTTATTTTTTGATGAGTCTAGCTAGAGGTTTGTCAACTTTGTTTATCCTTTCAAAGAACTAGTTCTTAATATATTATTTCCCTTTTCTGTGTACTTTGGGTTTTGTTTATACTTTTTCTAGTTTCTTTAGGTGTAAATTTAGATTGTTTATTTGAGAATTTTTCTTGTTTCTTGAGGTAGAACTGTATAGTTATGAACTTCCCCCTTAGAACTGCTATTACTGCATCTCATAAATTTTAGAAAGTTATGTTTTCATTTTCATTTGTCTCTAGGTAGTTTTTGATTTCCTGGTTGATTCCTCTTTGATCCACCTGTTGTGAAGTAACATGTTTTTTAATCTCTATGTATTTGGTTTTTTCCCAGATTTCTTCCTTTAGTCGATATCTAGTTTCATGGCCTAATGGTTAGAAAATACACTTAATGTAAATTCAGTCTTCTTGAATTTATTGAGGTTTGTTTTGCT